AGATTCCCACATGAAATTTTTGTAATGACTTGAAGTGGTTGAAGCTTTTGAAAGCGGTTTCAGGTCCCCCCATCCAAGCATTTGGATGGGGGGACCTGAAACCGCTTCCAGAAGCTTCAGCCACTTCATATCATTTCAGAGGTTTCAAGTTTCCCCACCTGAAACTCCTGAAATTATCCGAAGTGTCTGAAAATCTGAAAACGGTTTCAGATGTCCCCATCCAACCCAACCATTTGGATGGGGGGACCTGAAACCTCGTTTAGAAGCTTCAACCACTTCAGATCATTTCAGAGGTTTCAGGTCTCTCTATCTAAAACTCCTGAAATAATCTGAAGTGGTTGAAAATCTGAAAGGAGTTTCAGATACCCCCATCCCACCATTTGGATGGGGGAACCTGAAACCACTTTCAGAAGCTTCAGCCACTTCAGATCATGTCAGAGGTTTCAGGTCTCCCCATCTGAAACTTCTGAAATAATATGAAGTTGCTGAAAATTTGAAAGCGGTTTGAGATGCATCAATCCAACCATTCGGATGAGGGGACATGAAACTGCTTTCAGAAGCTTCAGCCACTTCAGGTCTTTTCAGAGGTTTCATGCTTCCCCACCTGAAACTCCTGAAATAATTTGAAGTGGCCCACAACAACATTGAATCAAAATAAAAATAGGCAAAAAAAATAAATATAAAAAACATAAATATAACCCCCAAATCATCTGTAACTTCTTAAATGGCATGGAGTGTCTTCATGTCATTCCAGTGATTTCGGACCTCTCCTAACAGACTTTAGGATCTTTCATTCTGAAATTTCAGGAGGTCGTTAACCACTTGTGCATGTTTCTAGCAGGGATGACCATAAACTATCCATTGCCTGACCGTCGTGATTCAAACCCGCCCTTCCTTGGGGGAACTTTCGTGGGATTATCCAGAACCGGTCTTCCCGCCATGTCAGGGGGTGTGTTGTTTGGGGAGTTTCGGGGGCCAAGCGGGATAAATGCTCCAGGGCTAAAACACACTATGGGCATTGGGGGGAAAAAATAAGTTTTTTAATCCATTTCAGTCGTAGCGCTTGCACTTGCGTGGCTGGATCAATTATTCCCAAACCTCCCCCAGACTTTGGCTGAATAATTGAATCCCACGCCACGCGGCTTATTACATTGCTTTGTTCACTGTCACCCCTCCATAGAAAAGCTGCCGCCTTTTTCCTCAAACTTCTCAAGGCTGTTTTACTTAGTGACCACAACAACGATTTGTACCATAGTGTTGCGAAGACTACATTGTTTAGTACTAAGGCACGTCCAAAAAGTGATGTGTGCTTGTTATTCCAGTTATTTAATTTTTGTTGTGCCGGGGCGTAGATCCACTCGTCGTTGGAGGGTGGGTGCCCTTCACCCAAGATCCTAACTGGGGCTTCCAAGGGCATCCTAAATACAATTAAGATTGCCGCCAGTGACACCAAAGCACATAGCAGGAGGAGCTTAAAAGAGGGTGACAATATTTCCAGATACTATCGTGCGCGATAGTCATGAAGTAAGCCACTCATAAGGAGTAAAAAAATATGGCTGGGTTAATGCACTCTTAAATATTTCGTGCTAGAGAGTGGCTTAGTTAACACTGAGCGCCCTTAATTCCAAGGGAGACGCTCCCACCACCACCAGAGGGACTCCCACTCCCATTGGTGGTGCCGCCGCCCGTAGAGCTGCCGTCCCACTAATCCTCACGTCTCCTCCCCCTGCTCCCCACACAGCCAATGCCTAATCAGGACAGAGTGGTACGTGACTGTTGCAGTCTCGCGTACCACCACGAGGGAGTCCCTTCGTGTGCCCGATGGGACTCCCTTCTCTGACGGTTGCCATGCTGAAGCGTGCATTTCGTATATTTTGAAAGAAAATCGAAGTACTGGATGGGGTTAACAATTGACCGGGAAGAAGAAGGGGGTCAAAAACATGCTCTTCGAGTACTTGATTTTTTTTCATCTTTTGAAGAGCTGCCAATCAATACGAGTCTTTCTATTTTCTTTTCCCCCCTCCCATTCTTGGGAACTGGAAAGAAAAAGCACAAAAAAAAAAAAAAAAAACACCACTTCAGAATATAAATCCCTCGCAATTTCTCTGCCATCCTATTCTCCTGCATCAGTGGTCGGACAATGTCCCGCAGATGTCCCAAAGGTGTTTGTGCGACACAGCTTACCTTACTCCTTTGCTAGTGGAACCGTGCTCCTGGGGCAAAGTCCCACTTACGCTGATTCTTCATTTCTGGCCGTTGATCTACCTAATCTACGGTCAGAAATTGAGAATTCGGGTAAGTGCGACTTGGCCCCTGGTTTGCCTCCTTTCTTGCTCCAGTTGTCGAGGTTTGCCTTCTTCAGCTCTGGTGCTCTTGTGATGAATTTCATTCAGTGATGAAGGCCCAGGGGGGGAACCCATGCCCATGAGTTTACAGACGGCGTGACGGTGCCTAAGTCCACAGCCGTGTGCGTGTGGCGCTTTGTATCAGCAATCGCCTCGCGGTATCGGTAAGTCTTCTCCGAATCGTTCCAGTTTTTCGACGGGTGCCCCGGGGCTAGGTCCCACTTGCACGAATTAAGAGATACTGACCGTAGATAACAAAGATCAACGGCCGATATCTTGCGCAAGTGGGAACTTTCTGGGAGAGGCCCTTAGACTCCGCTGGATGAAGCCAATGAAGAAAACGCACTTGTTGAGGGATTGCGTGAGACCAGACGCACATGAGGAATTCTTCTTGGACGTAGGCGACGCTATTCTGGGCCAAATTCATTCAGTCGAATGTCGTCTGGTGGGAGTATGCCCTCAGCTGGTTTTGTTTGTCGTCTTGTTGTCACTGATGAGCGGGGGCTGGATTGGCTTCTTGATTTCGCCGCGCGACGGTTCCTGGCCCTCGCTGCACTACTCTCGACATGCACAAAAGACAAAAATATTGGCGGTGTATATTTCCATATTCTAGCGGAAGATTCACTCTCGTTTTGCACATTTCGAGAGTCGTGCAGCGAAGCCCATTGTCGCACGTCCGTCGTTCCCTTCTTTCAAACCGTAGATACCAGAGATCGAGGGCCACAGACTCATGACTCATTTTGGCGGGAGCATGTCGCTGAAAACCATTTTTTTTGTTTTCAATTTTAACTATCATCATTGAGGCGACCAGCCGACTAGGTCCCACTTACACGAATTAAGCCATATTGACCGTAGATAACAAAGATCAACGGCCAGAATCTCTTAATCCGTGCAAGTGGGACCTCGCCCCCGGTTATTCAGAATTGCAGTATGGCCTCGCTCCACTACTCTCCACATGCACAAAAGACAAAACACACAATATGGCGGTGTACATTCCCAATTTTTAGGCGAAGATTCAGTCTCATTTTGCACAGTCGTTGCTCCTCAGCTCCAGTCGAGCTCGACAGTTCGGGTTACATGTTTTTTTTTTTTTGGTAGCCCTTTTTTTTTTTTTTTTTTTTTTCTCTTTTTGATTTGGCGTTTTGGAGTTTTTTCAGAGATGTTCCTTTGTTTTTTTATTGTTTTGTTTTTGCAATGGGCCTATGCTCCACTACACTATTGACCAAACATGCAAAATGAGAACGAATCTTGCCACAGAACATGGAAAATTACACCGACATAATTTTTGTCGTTTGTGCATGTGGTGAGTAGCGGAGCGTGAGGGGAAAAAAAAAAAAAAAAAGCACCGCAAACTGCGGCCGTCAGGCCGCGCGGGGGGGCCGGCCGACGGCGGGCTTTCTTGGAAACCCGCCTACCGCCGGTAGCTGGGCGAAACCCCTCGGCCCTTTCATGGATTCGTGGATGCATTCGTCCGTCTTGACGACCAGATTCAGTTGAAAAAACAGAGCGCGCCTCTGAGGTTACCGTGACGGCGAGATGCGCGTGTGGTGCTTCTTCTGAGGATTGAGACGTTTGTTCTCAGCAGCCATCAGTACTGCACGGCTCGCCAAATGTGCAAACAAAATGAGAATGAATCTGCCCCTCAATCATGGGAAGACACAGGGTCATATTATATATATTTTTTGTCCTTTGCGCATGTCGAGAGTAGTGGAGCAGCAGTGGAACGAGGCCCATTCCACCTCGCGCCTTGAGTCGACTCGAAGGAACACGAAACAACGAAAAAACGAGGAAGAGGAATGAGGAATGAGCCCGCCACCACAGCGAAATGGGTGTGGGTGCAATTGAATGCTGCATAAGGCCCTGTTAATAAAAAAAGTGTAATTTCGGGAAAACAAAAAACAACAAAAAAAACAAAAAAAGAATGCTGCATAACATAACTGGCGGGAACATGGGCCCGAATATTTCCTAAAGTGAGGTCCTCGGAGAGAGAGAGAGAGAGAGAGAGAGAGAGAGAGAGAGAGGGAGAGAAAAAAAAAAGAAAAAGAAAAGAAAAGAAAAGAAAAGAAAAGAAAAATTTCTAAAAGTGGATGGATACAACCACACAGGAGCCCGCCGAGGAGATCTATTGCCCTCCCTCCCTCCTTCTCTCGTACCGTCCAAACGGAACGAACCGGCCCCGGGGGCCAAGTCCCACTACTACGCTGCTGCTAGTGGGACTTGGCCCCCGGTTGGCCCGCAGTTACGGAATCCCTTTAACGGAGATCGACTTGGAATTTTGCGCCGGTTCTTCTGTTTGTTTTTTTTTTCCGGGCCCGGTTCTTGGCCGCACGGTTCTTGGCAAATCACACACGCATCCGATGCGCGGGGCCAATTTCCAATTTCCAATTTCCAATTTCGCTGTATGTCGTTCAACCACCCGCGCAATCGGAGGAAGCACGCGCATACAGACGAAACAGGGAAAGGAGGGAGAGGGAAAGAGGACGAGAGAGAGAGAGGTACCGAGAGAGGCGCGAGAGTGCGGCAAGACGTGACGTGCACACACAGACAGGCAGTACACTCAACAGCAGTAGTTTCATTGCTACAGCAGTTCTACAGCAGTTCTACAGCAGTAGTCTCATTGCTACCAACCGGCGGACGAGCGATCGAGATGCGAGGGGGGGGGAACGAAGACCAGGCATCAGTAGTTGACATGAGTTTGTAGAAGCAGGAGATCAGCGGAGGAGCAGCAGACACTACGGAAGCAAGCAATCAGGTAACTAAGTTAGCGCAAGGGCTCCTCTCGACGTGTCCGCCAGCATTGTCGGGGGTAGGTCGGCCATGGTGGCCGGGCATACAGTGGAATCTGCCGCTGGAGGGAGAAGAGGAAGGGAGGAGGTTCCTTTTGCAGCAGCCGATGTCTGCGGGCAAAGGATGATGACGAGTCAGGGATGGAGGGGGGATGGGAGGGGCGAGGGGGAGGGGCGGGAGGAGGGGGGGCGGGAGTTGTTGCAGATTCGTCCTGCTGTGCTGCTACACGTGGTGATTGCCTTGCTGCTGATGGCGGCGGCGCAGGGGGTGTCCGCGGCCGAGGCCGAGAGACTTCAATCTGTTGCAAATGGGAGAGATCGGGACCGCGAGACGGTAATCCCGACCGCGACGTGGGGACGGAAGGGAGTGGTGGTTGACGGAGATGAACTGTGGAAGAAGAGCGGAAGGGGGATGAATCAGGACCTGTGGTGGAGGAGCTTGAGCGGGGGCCGTGGCGGCGGCGGCGAAGGGGGTGAAGCTGCTGCTGCTGCTGCCGTGAAGACACGTGGCGTGGATAGAGAGGTCCACGTGGAGGAGAATGAGAATGACGTGTTTCTCCGAGGTCTGAGGGTGATTCGATCGGACGATGGAGGGGAGCGGAGGCGGAGGAGGAGGAGGAGGAAGTTGCGCATCTCGGAAGTCGGGATCCGGGCGCTTCAAGTGACACCCGATCCCGCTCAGCAGGCGGCTCAGCAAGCACGCACGGCGCCGATTGGTCAGCAAATCGTGACGCCCGATGGACACGGTGGGACGGTCGTCGCCGTCAGATTGAATGCGGGCGATTTCGCGAAGACCGGTTACACCTTCAACGAGTACCAAATTCCCTCGGGGACGACGATCTCAGGCTCGCCCGGTGAAGTCGTCCTCGTTTATCACAAATCAGTAAGTGCGGGCGGTTCGACGACGTCGGTGACAGTGACGGCGTATGCTGCGAGTAACACCCAGGCGGGGCAGCCAGGGACTCAGGTCCAGGTCGCGGCACCGTCGACCAGTCCAATCATCGTGAGAGTCCAGACAAGCGATCCCAGCCAGGTGCTGACTTGTCCCGGGGGAGGGCAGCCGCTTCCCGGGGGAGGAGGGTGCCAAGTGGAGAACCTAGACGGGCAGGTAATTGTTGCGCCGCCCATTACGAGCGCGCCTCCACCTCCAACACTTCCGCCTCCTTCCGCGATCCCGACCTCACAGCCTCCTCCCGCCTCGCTCCCCGTGGTGTCATCGACCACACCTCCACCGTCCTCTGTTCCTCCTCCCTCTTTTATCCCGCCCTCCCTCCCTCCCTCTTCTGTTCCCCCATCGGTACCCGTGTCTTCTTCCATCCCTGCGTCCGTTCCTCCCTCCTCCATCCCTTCATC